GTCATTGTTTTTCAAAGTACTTTCACTTCCTTCTGTCACACCTGAATATACATGGGACACTTGTCACTACATCGTCCTCCAGTCAGCTCCTGGTGTGCTAGCAGAGACACAACATGACACCCTCTATGTCTGCTACCTGCTGGGACAGTCTGGTCTCTTGTCTCACATCCAAAAATCCTCCCCCTCTGCACCCCTCAGCCTGTCTGCCACTTTACCCATCTGGTCCCATTTTAGCTGTGCAATAATGCAGTGACAGTGAAGGCAAATCAGAGATGACTCCCAATAATTTAACATCTGTCAGATTTTTTTGGTTTTCCTGGAACCACAAACCTATGTGTGGTTTGATCTTTGGTCTTAGGTTTCAAAGGTTTTGCAGTGACATGCAGGTCTATAGTGTGTGATCTGGGGAACTCACACGTGTGCATGGCATATGATGGAGGTGTGAGAAATATGGTGGAGAGAAGGATGGCGGTGCCAAACTTTGACCTCATGCAGCTTTTACGTGTATGAAGGTATTTGAAGTTTGGACTTAAAGGTTCAGATCTGACATGTGGCTTGTGTTTGCACTGAAATACCTCGCAGATCCATTGACTGCTTCAAAAAATGGATGTAAACATGAAGCTCTTTGGTGTCTATCCTGCCGCATTAAGAACTTTTCAAGAGGAGACTTTAACACAATATTTAGTGGGCTATTTATCTACATGACAGTGAAGAGGACATTTTTGTGTGTGATGAAAAAGTAAAAACATAAGAAAAGTATCTTATCTGCACTATGAAATATATCAGTATTTCTCAAAGTAAATAAAAGATATTTGCCTTCCAAGTACCACCAGATTCTAAACAAGTCTAAACATGAACCTTAACAGGCCCAAACCAGTGCTAAATCCAGTATTGGCATCAATATCTTATATCAGTATTGACTATCACTGCTGATATCTGATATCAGTATTGATATCAGATACTGAAATGCTGCAATTCTGCAACTGTGGGTCTCAGAGGGTTAAAACAGGACTACAACATTGCTACACACAATTGCTAAGTCAGTTAAATAAGTTATAAACATAACGCAAAGAAGGAAAATATTTGGATAAAAATTAATCCAAATTAAGATAATACTACTGCAACTGAAGAGGAGTCTGTCTACCACCAAGGGGATTACAAGATGGTGGTCGCCTGCATGCATGTCATGCACCTGCACTAAAAGGATGCACACTGTTTTTCAAGCTGATCCTCACATGGCTGTATGTCTTTTAAACAGAGAGCAGTTTGCACCAAATGTAGTGCACATTTGCTTTGTTTGGCTCTTTCTGGACCGCTTTATTCTGAGGACTGGACTCTTTTTTTTTTTTTACTTGAACAAACCACCATGGATAATTATCTCAAAGATGTAGTTGGATAGCATGCTATAGTGACTTTGGTTGCAACTTTACAACAATGGGATATGCATATTAGATTTGATATCAGCTGGATGCAACTCCTGGATTTCTGCCTTTGATTTTAGCGATGAGTGATGCACTAGGCTCTCTGCCAACACACATACAGGTTCTAAAACCCCTTTGATGAACCTATTGTGGCCATAAATATTAGTGATAATTGACAAAAATGTTAATATTGATGCCAATCTTGATAATTACTGTTGTAGCACCCATACATCCATGCTACCATGTTACTTACATGAGAAAAGTGGTGCTCCAAGCCACAGGGTTCAAACATGGCCTCCTGTTTAAGTGAACAGGCGGAGCTCAGTGGCGCGTGTTGCAAGATTAGCCTTGGAAGTTAGGTACATTTGGCAGGTATAATAGTAGTGCTCTTCTTCAAGGCAAATGTGTGCATGGAGTGAGGACTTGCAGAGCGAGTCGATGATAAAGATTCTTAAAGGTTCTTAAGACAGCTGAAGGAGTTTGTACTGATAAAAGGTTTATGATCTATTTTTTCTGCAGTACTAATGGACCTGCCACTAGCACAACTCACGAAAGGTCTAAGATGACAATACTCAACCCAGGCTAAACAGATCCATGAGGTACATCTAGTAAGTTACTACTATTCCTATTTAGCAGTAAATGAGATCCAAATAAGAGCTGCCCTACTGTACTGAACAAGAAACCGAGATATGAAGACTATACTAAACTTCCTCTTAGCTTAATGGCAGTACACAGGCCCTCACAAACACAGATAAGTTTACTCACAGTATCAGAGCTTTGGAATGATGAAAAACATGGTGCAGGTGGGTTCGGGTCTTGCAAAACATTGAGTGCGCTGAAATACCAAGGCCCTGAAGCTTGAGAATGGTGAAATGAGCGGACAGCAGCTTCGCCGACGCCCTTACGCCGCGGTGGTTCAATCAGTTCAGCGACAGAGCGATCTGCGATCTGTGATCTGCGATCCGCGATCCGTGGCGAAAACACGATCACAGCTCCCGCTCATTCTTCCCGCTCTTTCTTCCCGCGCTGACACACGTATCTCACTTTTATCTTTCTGCGCACAAACGTATGAGTCTACATTCTTCTTTTCTGAGCTTTATCAAGTCATTGCTTCTTTTTTGTGTCTTTTTTTTTTGTTTGTTTTTTGTTTTTTTTGGCTCTAAGAAAGGCTTGGTGGAGTCCGCGCGCTTGCAGTGACTGGTCCCGCCTAAAGAGCGGCTCCTAGGCCACTTCCAGAACTTATCAAATTCTCAGCTCAGAGTCGTGTGTGCAACTCATTTTCAGTCATATACAATAATCTTGTATTTAATAGCCTATTTGGAACTCAGGTGTCATTAACATAGACCAAGCAAAACAAAAGTAGTTTTTTTTTGTGTGTGTGTAAACAACAAAGCCCTATTGCACAGTTATTAAAAATTTCCTGGGATTATCCTGTTAAGATTTTTGTATCAGTGTGTCAATATTATTGTTAATTGTGATATTTTCTATAGCAATATATTACACCTTGTATTGCATGCCTAGGCTATTATAGGCAGTAGTAATAATGTAGTGTAAAACAATCTTACTTTTTACATTTATGCAATCATTTTGTGCATGTGCATTTAATTCTAGATGTTTAATAATAGCCTAAATATATTCTACATATAGACCACACAACACACAATGAAAAATCTCACTAAACTCTGTCCTCATTTGCTTGTCAGTTGTGCAATTTTGTGGCGTGGCGTCTTGCCCTGTTTTTGTTAAACTTGCCCATTCTCATTGATTCTCAGAAAACAACTGCAGCTGCTGATGATGGACATTCAACAATGTCAAAAGTCTGTCAGACCAAATCCAGTTTAGGCCCTATCTCTCCCTAGCATCTGAATTGGAGCAGTTCCTTTGTTGCGTTAGGTCTGTTTGAGTCCATTCCGGGTAATATGCACTTTAACTTGATTATAGCCACAAGTTTGGAACCACAATGTATGTAATTCAATCAGGATTTCCACATGTAACGGATATATAACCTGTGTCACATGTGACAATTGTTAAAACACAGCTAATGCCCTGCCATTTCAATGCATGAAAAAGAACATGATAAAAGAGACTAGGGTTCCTGAAATTAAGTCTTAAAAATGCCCCATGGAAACTGTGGTCTATTTGTCTGACGTCTATACATTTAAAAAATGATTGTACTCAAAAAATGTATATGGTAGAATTGGGAAGGTCAGGGTATCGTCTGTATCGATATCTGATATTTGTCTTGCTGCTGTGTCCAATATTCGATATTTGTCGACAAGGCCCACAAAATTATGTTATGTATTTCGTTTTAAAAGTGTTAAACCGGTATAAAAATTCTCTGATCACTGCAATGTTTGCTATGACCCACATTTACTAGTATGTAACTTTTGTGGAGGAGTCAGCACCCATTTCTCTACTAACAACCTCTGCATAAATATGTTATTGCTTTGTCGAGATAGAATGTATTACAGCAGTAACTTATCACCAATCACTTAACACCACCAAGCTAAATTACAGGTCAGATCTGTAGACATGCAAACCCGCTCACAGTAAGAACAGTAAGAATTAATGTTTTTCAAGATATTTCTGAGCAATACAAATACTATTGACTCAGACTTTTAAGATTTTAAATAGGCCATAGTAGGATATAAGCCTTATAAGCAATAATAGACTCGACTATGGCAAGAAAGCACTCAATGTTGTTTACCCTCCCATGTATTCAGGCTTGGAACTGTATAGCTGATTTACTGTAAAGCCTACCTCAGTTGACTACGCATATGCTGTCCAAAACACAACTGCTTTCCACACCCAAAAGGTTTTGGCCTGGCTTTGTGGTACTTTCCGAGCGGTAAATACTATAGCATATAAGTGGCTTTACCTATTACAATTTTACCTTCCTCTAAGCGCCCCACTTTCCCCAGGCCATTACATTTAGCTTTTACAAAACAACCCCAAATCATTTAATAAACCCAATTTTTGGAGAGCCTATGGGAGCAGAGTTGAATTTATGCCCCAAGGATAAAAAGCCGGGGATCAGAGTACTTCAGTAAATAATGTTACACTATGAATAATGACTACAGTCTGTTGCCAGCACTTCGACTGGACTAATGACAAAGACCTGGTTTTGATTAGGCCTTACGCAAACACACAGAGACATGCATAGAGCACACACACCCAGCAGGAGTGACCCACAGAGAACGTCCTATCAGTTTAGATAATCTGAGGCTACGGGCGAGGAAAGTGATCTGGATTGTATTATGGGGCAGCTAATGTAGGGGAGGAAAGACAGGAGGCAGAGGGCACCAGACACATCCTTACTCACCTCTCAGCTTCCTCTATGGAGCATGTGTCAGACTGAGGATGTTATGGCAGGGTTTGACATTAACACTACAGCCACCAATCTAAATGTCATTGTCTTTTCAGAGTTGTGGCACATTTCTCTTCACTTTAGAGACATTCACTTTAAAAAGATAAAATAACTTGCATATAGTATATAAAAATAGTACAGTACAAATATAACTGAACAAATATTGTTTCAATAAAAGCAGCATATTCAATAAATTCAATAAAAGCAGCATATTTTAGATTGTATATTTTGTTTTTATTAGTATAAAAGCAGAAAATATTACATGTAGTTATAGTTAATGCCAGGTTCTGCTAATTGTGGTTATATTAAGCAAGAAGTGTCTATTTACCTCATATTTTACCAGAGATAAATAGACCCAAGATTAGGTTTAGAAAAGAGCATGACTGCCATCTGCTGATGAAGGCTAGAAATGCATACAGTTTATCAATTTAAATTAATGAATAATTTAAAATTATTCCAAGACACTTCTTTCAGTGGGTATATGGAAAAAAACAAGGGCCAGACAGAGTGCACTTTTCGTTTGTGTTTTTGTTTAGTGTATGTTACTGTATGTAACCAATGACAGACCTTGGACTAAATATTAAATAAATTTTAAACAATACAATATGATCATAAATTAAGTATAGCTGTATTTAATACACAAACTAGTACTAAGAAATGAACAGTCATGCCCATTCCTCTTGCCTGGTACCTGTGGATATGTAGTTAGATAACTGTATTATTTAGGCTGACATTTCAATGGCTATCGTAACACATGCTTTGTTTAGTCTACAGTGCAACAATAACCTTCAATTATCAAATGCTAGTTATTCTTTTTTTAACAATTTGACCTACATACAAAAATTCCAGTAACTCCAAGGGCACGCACTGGTCTAACCTCCTTCACACCAGATAGCTGTCAAAAACAGTCCTTCTCAACTGGGGCTTAAACAGAGCCAACACCGCTTCTCTCTGCTCCTCGACTTCGGCCTTTGGTGGTTCTTCTGAGGTGCGTTCAAGTGTCCAAGTGTTTCTGACTGTTTGTTATTTCAGTCTCAGTTCACATCCTCCTGCTGCTCCACCACCGAGGAGACAAGGAGGTAAGGCAGCAGGCTAAGAAAGGTGGCTAGGAATCTCCAGCTATCATCGCTTCTCTAGTTTCTTGAACCTAGCTTCTGCAAAAAGAATGAAGAAAAATACTGTAAAATAAATAAACTCTCACAAATCAAGTTACTAAAGTTGCTCAAATGAATCTGTGTAATGTAGCACCATCAAGTGGCGGAAGAAGTATTAAGACAGATGTTGAAGAAAATAGGTGTGTGCCTAGTGTGATTAAGGTAAATGGTTATAAAATAATGAGGTCAGTTGTTTTCATGATATGCCATAGGTACTGTAATAAAAGTATTGAATGCTGAGTGAAATGATCTGTGTGTACCAATGATGTACGTGCACAATTCTTCCAAATTAAATCTATGTAACATACAACCCATGCCCGGAATGTTATGTTGATAGGCGTTTTTTTTTTTATTTTATTATTAATTTACCTAGCTTCTTAGAGTAAGCATCCAGTTTGTATGCAGCCTGCTCAAGTGAAGTGACATGCTCCTCAATTTCATTTATCTGATCCAAGTATGGCTGAAGGCTGGCATCTGTACAGAAATATACCCCAATTGGATTAAAAACAGACCATAAAGACTACGTCATTAGAGTAAACCATCCATCTCACATTTGTTATTAAGGTCCTGTAGGTTACGACTGATGTTTATGCTGATGTCCTTCATTTCCATGTACTTCAGGCTGGTCAGCTTGTTCATATTCTCCAACAAGCGGTAATCTTCACATGTAGCTACAAAAACATACATTATAATTAGATGATTTTAATGATTTTGAAATAAGAGGAGATGGCATTGCTTTACAAATACAATACCTGTGAGTTCCCCTTGTAGAAATATTGCCATCTTTTCAAACATATCGCTGCATAACTCGTTTATATCAGGCTCTGCTGGCTCCACAGCCTCCTCTGCTGTCTCTACCCCGCCATCACCTGAACACATACAATAATAACACTTTTAATACGGCTGCATTTGGCACACTCGTTTGCCAACATAAACACACATATAGGCAAAAATCTAGAGGCACTGGGTAAAGAGTACAATGGTTCAATCAAATAATGACTACGTAGGCCTATTTGTTTGATTTATATTGTGTTAAAGTTAGCATTGTTAGCTACGGAAGGTGTCCAGCTGTGCACTACTGCAGTTACCCTTTTTAGGTGCTGCGGTTTCAGCTCCATCCTCTGGGGGTTCTGCTTGATTACTCCCGGCTCCAGGCGCACTCAAAGCTGCAGAATGAGCCGCTGGGGCCCGGGAGATGCTATCCATAGCCGCTGCCTCGTCCCCTGTAGCAGTAGCCATTTTGTTCCTGTTTTGGCTTTACCCCGGTCACATGAGCGCACATGAGGCCACGTGACGACCGCGCGCCACAAGGTTTTACTACAACTCGGTCTGCGCGCACTGCCACTCCATGGATCTATGTGCCACACCCATATGATGTCCACAGCACACAAGCACACAGAGGGTAGATCGTGGCCCGAAACTGGTGGATCTCAGACTCTCAGATGGGGGACAAGAAGCAGTTTTTCCAATTAATTACGTTGCACTTTGCCATGAAATATTGGAAAGGCAAATTCTCAAATATGGAACCAGTTCATTTTTATTATTGATTAGACCCAAGACCGTGCTATATTACAACAGAAATTTGCATTCTAACAATATTAATTTTAGCGGCCCCCCCATCTGTATTAAATAATATTTGCCTATAGAATGCTGTAATGTCATCTGAAACCCAACAATAGCTAATAGATCCTTATCTGAAAGGCATTTAGACGTATTTGTACTAATTTAATTTACAATGTTTACTAGGATCTATAGGCCATATTTATTATAGCCTGGATGCTTTAAATGTATGTCTTTAACGAACAAGATTTTTTCTGTCTTGTTGCAATAGAGCCCTGTATAAAAAAGAAGAAAAAAGGGAAAAGGGAGTTTAAATAAGTAAAGTAAAATATGCCTATGCTTGTCAATTGGTCACGTGGATATTTTTGACAAATAAAACTTTGACTGTGATTAGACTGTAAAATAACTTAACAGTAGTTTTGTGGTCACTGTGCGCACTCTAGTGAGCCCATTGCAAACCAACTTGACACAAACTGGGCATAGCACCTGTGTCGGCGCTGTTCGGGGGAAGTCGGATCGTGACAGGCAAAGCTTGCAGCTCTGACTGTCAACATGGCGGCACGCACTGCTACAGGGCTGTGCCGAGCTCCCCGCTACTACTAGGGACAAATAAACACAGAGACACCCCAAAATGGAGACCGAAGAGGAGCAGCACATCACCACGCTCCTCTGTATGGGCTTCCCAGATCCGGACGTGATCAGGAAAGCGCTGCGTTTAGCCAAGAACGACATCAACGAGGCAGTGGCGCTCCTGACCAACGAAAGCCCCGGACTCGGGTATGGATACGAGCCGATGGAGAGCGGGCCTGCCCCCAATCCCAGCTCATCTGGAGACGGGGAAAACAGCGGGAGAAGCGGCACAGGGGGGTTTGACCCGCCGCCAGCTTACCACGATGTTGTGGATAGCGAGGTGAGAGTGACTTTGCATTAGAGAAAACATGGGGGAACATGGCTAATTGTAACTTACTGGTCTCGCCCATTTAACTAGCTACACTTAGCTGCAGCCGGAGCTATGTGCAGCAAGCCCAACGTGAACTGTCAGGCGATCAGGGCGCATATGCAACTAATACTACACAAAATGCGTGCACCCACGCCAACTAATCTAGTATCGTCTTTTGTGGATGAATGAAATCATGCAAAATCTCTCATATATTTCATCGGGGCAAGCAATCAAACTTACTAGCTTGGGCAGCACTTGCTTAGCAATGTTAGCGAGAGTTAAACGCGCGAGTTACTGCACAGCCACAGATTCTCTATGGATTTTATACCTGGAAAGTAATATCTTGACAAGAAAACACTCATTTATGTACTCCAAGCATCCAAAGCTTGGACAATTGACCGATTCCCTCTTTTGCTCTCACTTTGTACAGACTGTGTGCAGAATGTGTAGAGATTTCGCAATTCACTTGACATCCCCAGAACCCCAATATCCTCATTCTTTAAGGCTTGTTTACATTCTCCCAGCTTGTTATGTAGAAGAAATGTTGTTGATAGGTTCATGTAGACTATCACTTGTAAATTGGAGCAAATTATGAAACAGTACACCAAAAATTTGTGATAATGGAAGATTTTTCTATGAAAATACACTGATGGGTTGCCATTGTGACCAAAAACATGTGAAACTTTGAGTTATGCATAGCCCTCACCCCCAAACAACATCCAGGAAGTAGCCTGTTTACCCCTCAGCAATTTGACTTTCACTTGTTGAATTTTCAGTACACCAACGAATTTTAGTGCTAGTTTGTAAACATAATTTTATTTTTAATGATTAAGAATGATACAGTAGTGTTAATAGCAATTATCAATTTACATCACCTTTCTTTATTATGGACACTGTTTTATGGCTCAAGCACATTCTAGTCTAGTTATTCCATTCAATTAATTTCCAAAACATGATTGTAATTGTGCTGTTACAATACAACCAACAAGTACACTGAAATTAAGATGTATATCCTTAAACTATGAATAATTGTCACATGGATGTCAACTATTTGAAAACTGGATCTCTTTATTGCCTAATGCATTTGTGTGTACTGTTGACATGTTAGGCTGTTGCAGCATGTTGTCCTCCTAAAAATAGCCCTTCATGACACAGTGAACATATTGCAGTTTTTGAAGGGGTCCCACGGGTGGATGGGTGCATAGTAACAGACTGGCGCCAAGTTACACTTGGGGTAGGGCCAGGGCACAGAGAAAAAACTGTTACATACTGTACCTCATATGATTCAACTTTTACCCAGAAGACCTCAAACGTGATTTATTACGGACATGTATGTACTTCCATGATGATATATTTTAGATGGAGTTGTGCAATAAAAACACTGTACACTCATAAGCATGACAGCAATTTCAATCTTTAAACATTTTACTTTTGTAAGTTGTTATTAAGAAATATTTTAAAACCCTGCTTCCCTTCCTTAATTTCATTTGAAATGTATTAATTGGATTAGAGTGGACAATTTAGACTAAATAGACAAAAAAAAGTTTTCTTTTGTTTTCTATTAGAATATCTTGATATTTAGGATATTTTCTTGATATTATTGCACTCCATTAAGAAAGTAAATGTCTTCATGTGGACATTCAAGCATTGCTCAAAATTTGAATGGATTATAAAAATAAACCAACCTGCAGAAATATCACTTACAGCAAGTTTAATTTTAATCAGCTCTTTTTGCAGCCTCGTTGATTAGTGTTTATAATAATGTATTTACTCTATATTAGGGCTGGGCTATACGGCGATAAACAATGAATCATGAGCTCATCGTTTTGATCCTATTTTGGTGATACCATCAGATTGTGTTTCAGTAATTCTTAATATAAGGCAGGACTTGGCTCAGAAACTTTTGGTTGGACACTTTGGACACTTTTGGTTAGCCTCTGTCATGTTCTGAGAGACTTCTAGAATTAATCAGTCATAGTGACGAGTAATAATACTAGTCTACATGAATCATGATAAAATCGAAATTGTGATCGGACCTAAGGAAGTCATGATATTATTTCTTGGTATATCACCCACCTCTACTCTATATTCTAATTTTATATTCCAAACAACCATTACGATATACATTTTTTTGGTCTCTAAATTGAAAATTTAAAACAAAAAACTTGCACTGTGGGAGAGAACAAGAAAACACCCAAAACACATATGAAATACATTGAGCCTGAGTTTCATCCCCACTTCCCCAGCTCTAAATTGGACCACTTCCTTCTTCAGTCTTTGCTTCTAAGGCTTGTATGTCATAACTTTTCTCTATGCCATGTCTCCCTTTCTTTAATCTTTTATTGTGTCATCCTGACTTCTGCAAAATATAAAGTGTTACAGTGTGATGATGACTTTTAATGGTTTAATTTCTCTGCTCTGCACTTCTCTTTAAAAAACTTTCTTTGGTCAGCCCCATAACATAAACTCAATACTGGTCACGTATAACTGAAATATAAACATTTTCAGGTGGTTTGCCTGTTTTGTGTGGTTTACAGATTTAGTTGATAAATTACTTTAAAGGTAAACTCAAACTTAAGACATTTTGAGAGTGACCATTAACCTAGAACTATTCGGACATCTATCCTCAAGGTGTTCCAGTCTGTTTCTTGGCATTTAAACACACAAAGGAATTTACATAACAGGTTAACATTGAATCAGTTGAATTTTAACATAATCTCAGAGCTCACAAGCTACAATGTTCTTGTCCATTGATGAGGCTTGAGCTGTTGGTGCACTTGAGTGTCACAACATAACTCATTGGTGCTCAATACTTGAGATTTGCAGTTAAGCTCAAAATCATTCTTTTAATGGCTAAATGATTAGTCAAAGTGAACTTGTGTAAAGGTGGTTCTGTATGCAGAATGTACAGTATAAAAGTTGCATAATAGTGGGCTTTGGAAAATGGCTCAGAAGGATCAAATGGCTTAAGTCTGGACTCCACAGCCGTCGTTTCCAGAGCCAGGTTGGTGTGAATACATTTGTGCTTTAGTGTAAAAGGGTAAGTGTATGCAGACGTGAAGGGCATTGAGCGAGGTCACATCCCAAATGGCTGTTCTCACTCCTGTCCCAGAGCGGAAACACTGCGACACTGCCATAGTCTCACCTTCTGCATCATGATGTAATGTTGATATTTATCTGTCATAGAGAAACAATGATGAGAATGGGAACTGCTCTGGTGGCAGTATGGAGTTTCCCACCACTAACCTGTATGAGCTGGAGAGTCGGGTATTCACTGACCACTGGTCCATCCCCTACAAGAGAGAGGAGTCTTTGGGCAAGTGCCTCATCGCCTCCACCTGCTTGGCTCGACACGGTAAGACTATTTATACGACCATGAAAATCTGTGTTTATGAAACCAGTCCATCTGTGTCTGCATGTGGGAGGCATGTTTTGTTTGGACCATTGGGTGTTTATCGCATGGTATTTTGGATTAGTGATGCTGATGCTCAATCTGCATCTTATTTTTCACAGCTATTTTTGTGCAAAAACATTCATATTATTTTGAATCTGCCTTGAAGGTCTGGCTGATGCTGATGAGAATTGCAAGCGATTTATGGATCGGTGCATGCCAGAGGCCTTCAAAAAGGTGAGGACCCAGCACACAGGGGACCTGCAAACTGAATTAACACTTATAAAGTTTTAATGACCCTCTTTGTTCTGGGTTGTTAGTTGCTGACCAGCAGTGCAGTTCACAAGTGGGGCACAGAGATTCATGAGGGCATCTACAACATGCTGATGCTGCTGGTAGAGTTGGTGGCAGAAAGGGTTAAACAAGACCCGGTGCCTGTGAATCTAATGGCAGTTTTAACCATGGTGAGCCTTAATTATATCAGTCGTAAAATGTTATGTAACACTAGTGCAATTTTTTGAGATACCTTTTTGCTTCCAGGCCTTCAACCCTGACAATGAATACCATTTTAAGAATCGAATGAAGTCGTGTCAGAGGAACTGGGCTGAGGTTTTTGGAGAGGAAGCCAACATGTTTGCTGTGTCTCCCAGCAACACCTACCAGAAAGTAAGAAGCAGTGAAGAATTTTGATCCGCAAACAGCTAGTGGTATTAACTAGTGGAAGATCACAATATTAACGTATTATTTGGTGGGTTTACTTTTTATCCCTAAATTATGATTCAAAAATCTTTCTCAAAGCTATAATCTACATACATGTATGTTCGGTATCAAATCAAGTACCCCAACACTTTACCAATGGATTTCTTGTGTTAAATGTCAATTAAGCTTCTCATTATATCCTGCAGCCGTAATTTACTTACAAGAGAAACGTGAGTCTTTGGTTCTGTTTACATATGTCATGCCTTCATAGTGTTTGTTTATGATTTTTGAGGGGAGGAAGAACAGACTCAAGTTCTGGTGTTGTGTAAGGGCTTGGATCCAACCATGACTGTCAGATATACAACAGCTGTTGGGAAATGTCATCCATTTGTTTGTGTGCTGCTGTTGCGTCATTGTGTTGCAAACTCAAATTAAAATGATTACATTGTGTTTCAGGAGCCACATGGTTGGCTAGTGGACCTGGTGAATCGGGTAGGTAGAATAGAGTAACTTGGATATTAACTTTTGTATTGTAATAGCAATGTCACTATTTGATATTCTGATCTCTTCTCTTTATTCAGTTTGGAGAATTGGGTGGATTCTCTGCCATCCAGACCAAACTCAACGCAGAGGAAATTGAGATTGCTGTAAGAGAAAACCTTATTTATTAATTTTTCTCAGTCATAACATCCCATCAGGAGTAGTGTGGTGAAATAATTGCTACTATTGATGAAATTCAGTTCAGTTTTATGAATTGCCAAAAAATATTAAAACACAGGAGAAGTGATGCCCAGCAATTGGAATTTTTTTTTTTATCTCACAGATAAAAAAAAGTAAAGACAGAATATATAGCAACCTTTAAAAAACTGCTATGTCATGGAAAGTCCAATCCTTCACACAAAAAGGTCAGCCTGTGTACCCCCTGCTCTGTCCACTGCAGCGCTCTCATCCTTCGTGTGTGGAGGAGGAGGAGGTAAAGGCCCTGTTGTGCCACATGCTCAGAGACCTCCTTGTACTAATGCTGCCTCTAAGAAACATCCCGGAAACACAGCAGGACGTGCCCATTGATAAAACCTGTGTGTCACATACAGTCCCTGACATAAGTCTTGTCGCTTATCCATTTTGTAGAAACAAAAGCTTATAACCTGACTTTAAATTAATTGATTGGCTTTAGAAATGTCTCATATGAAAGCTAAAACCCTCCCAAATTATGCTCAATAAACTAAAATAAATTTGCTTCACTGAAGAAAGATTGATCATTTAATGAACACAGAAAGGTCAGATTTTGGCAAGACAAAAGTTTTGTCGCCTACAGAAAATTGAACAAATAATTTACTTCAAATACAAAAATATGTTGCATAACGTCAGTGAATTAAGTCGTGGTGCTGTGAGATCCATATTTAATATCTTGTATGACTTCCATGAGCTTAAAGGACTGCATCCATGCGGTTCGACAATGATTCATACAATTTGTTGATGAAGTAAATTATTTGTTCAATTTTCTGTAGGCGACAAAACTTTTGTCTTGCCAAAATCTGACCTTTCTGTGTTCATTAAATGATCAATCTTTCTTCAGTGAAGCAAATTTATTTTAGTATATTGAGCATAATTTGGGAGGGTTTTAGCTTTCATATGAGACATTTCTAAAACCAATCGATTAATTTAAAGTCAGGTTATAAGCTTTTGTTTCTACAAAATGGATAAGCGACAAGACTTATGTCAGGGACTGTACACAGCCTTTTTGCCATTTTAATAGATCTGGCGACACGGCATTCCACTTAATTCCAAGATTAATTCCAAGCTAAATTGTCCTGAGTTATGCTTAGTCTCAAATGTCCATTGGGATATACAAGGAAGTAACATCCTATTCCAAATGTGCATCTGCATCAATCAATCAATACAATATGTGAAAGCACAAGAGCTTTCAATTTTGTGTATTTGGACAGTCTTTATCAGAAATTTTATTTTAATTAAGTTATATTTAGTACAAAATAAAAACAAAATTTGTATTCCAAAACAAATTCTTTTAACCCTGTGTATTTTGTTGTGCACCACTGTTTAGCCAATAAATATAGCATTACAGTTTATTCATCTATCTATCTAACTCTAAACGAAGGAAGAGAGCATATTAGTTGGAACGATTGGGCTTGTCCCAGGAGTGACTCATTAATTTTTCTAAGCAGGAAGTCATGACTGAAGTGAGCGGGTCTGTGGAGGAGATACACGCTGTAGAGGAGAGCTGGGAGTGTGTTGATAAAGAGGAGGCACTTAAGAACCCATTATGATGCTTTTATTTGGCATGGATGACAAAAGTTGTTCTCTGGCGTTGGAAATCCATAATTTTCATGCACCTTTTGCCACATAATCACAAAATAATACACCCAAATGCGTTACCTTGTCGTACTCCATGCAACTTACCACAACGCATGAGAGAAACTTGTAGATGTTTTACATTTTGTACAATTACAAATTCTTATTTATATTAACAATTTTATATTTCTGTTTGATCTTATTTATATGACTTTGATGTTTCTTGTACAGTGTGTGTCAGCTCTGGTCCAGCCTCTTGGTGTATGTGCCGAGTACCTAAACTCCAGTCTTGTCCAGGTGAGCTTTCAAATCACCAAATTATTGCTTAGGCATCTACTTCATCAAAAGTATATGTTGGTTGGGAAAAGTTTGTATTCAAGAAATGTGATGACCCCTTTGTTAAATACATGATGCCATTGTTTACAGCCCATGCTTGATCCAGTCATACATAAGATGATCACATATGTGCAGAACCTGGAGGAAAAGGATCTCAAAGATAAGGTTTGAAATTTGAAAACAAGTTGTATTTATTTTATTTTACAATTTTTTTTTTAATGTTCTCTGCTTGTCCTTAGCGTCTTGTGAGCATCCCAGACCTGCTCTCAGCCATTAAACTCCTGTGTATGAGGTTCCAAAGAGACTTGGTCGCTGTGGTGGACGACCTGAGATTGGACACTCTGCTGCGAATGCTCAAAACGCCACACTTCTCCACCAAAATGAACTCCCTAAAAGAGGTCCTAAACTCTTAGTTTTTAGTTATTGTGAAAGAATTATTGTGTATAGTTACTGTATAAAGATGTCTCACATTTTCACTCTTTCCTTCAGGTCACCAAACTCATAGAGGAGAGCACTGTGTCTAAAACAGTCAAAAATGCCATAGACACAGATAAACTTTTAGACTGGCTTGTTGAAAACTCAGTCCTATCAATAGCACTGGAAGGTAAAAAATTGATGTTACTAAGCATATAAATATTGACATTAGATATATATTATATATATTATATATATATATATATATATATATATATATATATATATATATATATATATATATATATATATTATTATAACAAAAGGTTAAACATTCTATTTTTTTTAAGGTAACATTGACCAAGCCCAATACTGTGAGAGAATAAAGGGAATCATAGAACTTCTTGGGAGTAAATTGTCACTGGATGAACTGACCAAAATCTGGAGGATACAGGTACCAGTTGTATCTTAGATTTTTGAGTATTGTGTTTTATTAAGTATAAAAATAAGCAACAGAGTTTCCAGCATCCATGCAATTTGGTCATAAATCTTGTTATTAATGGAAATTGTTGAGTGTCAATTTTATTTAAACCTGTGCAGATGAACATAACTTTGTAGCTAGTTATGTTTACTTAACTTGTGTTTGTGGTCTGCTATGTACATCTTATGCCTGATTAGTTTACATAACTGCTGAAACATTATTGCACAGTTGTTTGATTTGCTTCTGGACATGTGTTTATTTGAGCACAACAATTGGCCTCCTATTTACAGTTTTTCTGTGTTGGTATTTCAGGCTGGCCAGTCGTCAACAGTGATTGAAAACATTCACACAATCATTGCTGCTGCTGCTGTGAAGTTCAGCTTTGATCAGCTCACCCACCTCTTTGTCCTTATTCAGAAGGTCAGTGCTGTCCAGGACACTCTCTGGTGTTGTCATATAACTGCATGTGCTATGTACTATGGGTTGTTACCTTTTATGGTGTAAAGTCAACACGTTAAAGTGAGATGTTTTATGGACATGCATTAATTAGAGTTCAGCTAGGCATTAAATCTTACCCAGCCTATTCATTTTTGCAGATGGTATTTAAATAAGGCTATATTGAATTTGCTCTATGCTCAAAACATAAGTGAGGCTTTGTAACTAAATGTAGATTACATTCTGTGAGCGTGGATGAAATTGTTTATTTAATTAATTTGATAGAATTTCAAAAGGTGAGATATTTAATTGGACATTTACTTGGAAATACAGTTTTTTTATAGCCAAATTTTATTAACAATTATTTATACTTTTCAATGTATTGTTCAGAGTTGGGAAATTGAGAGCGACCGAGTGAGACAGAAGCTGCTCAGTCTGATTGGGAGAATTGGCAGAGAGGCCCGATCTGAAACAACAACTGGAAAGGTTTGACTTTGTACAAAATGTTATTATAGGGAAAGATTGTGTTTTTATTTTAAGATGATTGTGATTGATGCTGTTGCTGTGTAGGTGCTAGAGGTGCTGTGGGAGCTGGCTCACCTCCCCACCTTACCCACCAGTCTGGTTCAGCAGGCCTTAGAGGAGCACCTGGGGATCCTGAGTGACGCCTACGCTGTCAAGGAAACTGTGAAACGCAGTTACATCATTAAATGTATTGAGGATATTAAAAAGGTAAGAAAGTAAATCTGTCAGTACACTGTGGAACAAAGTATATTATTCAGTATTCATCGTAAACAAGTTTAATGTTACTATTTTGGCAGTGAAGCTTTGTTTGAGTGTAAACTGAAATTTCCTGGATATTTACAGAAGAAAGAATCTGGTTTAAGGATACAATGACTTAGTGAGAGGAGTTGGATGTGGTGAAGAAGACAGGAGTTAGTTGGTGGAAGAGGTTTCAGAGGATATGGTTACACAATTGCAGATGATTTATTGTTGTGACCTCTGAAGGGCAAGTCAAAGGCAAAGTTTGTATTTGTCATGGCTCCTGTATTCTTACCCAGAAATGGACAATGTGTTTCTCTCTTGTGTTTTTTTTTTGTGTGAGTTCTTTAGTCCAGTCTTGATTTTTAATATTAGTTCTAAGCATGTTTGAGAGTCTTGAAAAGCGCTATTTAAATAATGTAATGCATTAATTGTACTACTATTAAGTTTTAGTGTGTTCAAGTGAAGTGGAGAGTCTTGTCAACATGAACAGGCCCATACCATAGAGAGCTCATATTCCCAGGACACACTGCGCTGCAGGGAGTCAGGCAGACTGTTTATCTGTTGAGAGAGGAATGCTCACATGAGGCCTGTCGACGTGTCCCATCACATTCGGTCATCTCACTATACACCAGCTGTACATGTGTTTGATTGTATGAACTGTAATGTGACATTTACATTTAAACATGTAGATTCTACAAGGAAATTTGCTATGTGAATGTGTTATATTTGCTAGAATATTTACTCTGAAGTTTGAAACAGTTCATCCACTAAACAGGTTGTTGGTTCAATCCTTGCTCTTCCCAGTTCATACTGCTGTTCTATCCTTGGCAAGACACGTCACCCGCTTTTTCCCCAGTGTCTGTAAGACTGTTTGTTGAATGTGTGACTTATGTTTTAAGTTGTTCTGAGATGCTGCTGGCGTGATATGGCTGTAATGTCTCTTTGCCTGCTCCCTAGCAGCTATAACTTCCAAAGTAGCTTTCATGAAGTGCTTAATGTGCAGTAGAGAAAAGGAAAGGACTTCATGTATCTAATTCATCATTGTTTGTTTTTATTATTAAACTTTATCATAAAAGATGAGAGTCGTGCTACTGTCTTACCGCTATATCCAAAACATTAAATAAACATCAGCCTAATCACTTTGGCCATTAAGTGAAATATATGTTTTTAGACACAAACTCAAGAGGACGGTAAAAGCAGTGAGACCCAGACCTCATTTCTAACTGGCACTTGGGGCAAGAAGAAGCCCAACCTTTTGGTCAAAGTAAGATAAGAGACACGTATTATTACTCTGTAACTGGTATTTTCTATCACACCAATCCTGCTGCTTCTGCAAATCAGCCATGGAGAAGGGCTTGACCAAGCGGGGATGACTTGGACCTTAGATGGACTCTAACACAAAGCTAATGGTGTGTTTTAATTGTTTGCTTTCCTCACAATCTGGGCTGCGGCATTTTGATTGCACAGTGGTGTTGATCATATCTCAAGTGGTTTACGGCTCAATTAAATGTGATTCTCTCTTTAAAGAATCGTCAGCTTGGTGGTTGTTCTGTAATGTTTACTCATTCAACAACTAATCTGATCAGAACCATGGACATGGCACTAATGTTTAATCATAGTTATTTGGATATGGTATTATATGCGTCTTTTCTAGATTACGCCATGTTTTATGTCCATGGTCCTGATGGTATTAGTTTGGTTGTCAATCTCTTTGTCGTTCATTTATTTCTTGTTTGTTCTACATCAAGAAGACATTATTATGGTGCATATTTGTTCATAGGCCTCCTCCCAACAGAGCAGTCCACAGGCTGTTTGGGTCGTCCCTGCTCTAAGACAGCTGCATGAAATCACCCGTTCTTTCATCAAGCAGACATATCAGAAGCAAGACAAGGTAAAAACAGCAATTGTTTAGTAACGATATTGGCAATATCAAACTCAGTCCTAATTTATAGTGTCAATTTGATGTCCTTGTAAAAGCAGTTTTAAAGCAGTTTAATTTAGAAAATGCACTTATTGAATTATTGATTTGTGTTACTCTTTTAAGACAGTGATGATTGCACCCAAGGCTCTTCCAAGCCTTTCAGTGAAAAAGTATTATTTACAAAGTTGTAAAATGAATTTTTCTTTGATAATGCAGCACTGTTTAATGTACATCGCTACTGTCTTGCAGCACAGTATTTAAAATGACTGTTGTGCCTGTTTGTCTGTAGAGCATTATTCAGGACTTGAAGAAGAACTTTGAGATAGTGAAGTTGATCACAGGATCTCTGGTGTGCTGCCATCGCCTTGCCGCCTCTGCTTCGGGAAACATTGGGCTCTCAGGATCAACCGTGGTGGATGGACGATACACCTATCAGGAGGTTTGGAGATTTGTGCACATTAAATTTATTAATATTTCCATTGTCAAGGCTACCAAAATACTTTTTGCCTCTCATCTCTGAACAGACAAGTCCAAGTTCAACTCCTTTAAAACTAGAATTAGTGTTTGCATAACATTGCAACAGTTAATTAGTCACAGTCCTTTACACTGTTTACAATACAATGGAGAGAAAACATAACAGCTCAAAAATGTTTTTACAGTCATGTAGGGCATATCTAAAGTTAAAATCCATGCCTTCATTAATTTTTAAAAATGTATTTATTTGGCAAAAGAACAGTACATACTAATAAACATATAACAAACTATTGAATATGTGTGATTATAGCCACAGATGCTGTTGTCTCTGGACAGGTTGATGGTAACATTAAAATCACATTTAACAAAACACAAAATCAATATCACAGACATTGGGACCACAGAGAACAGGAACTTCACATTGGGATCAAAAACAAGAACAAACCACAGCAGACTGAATACAGTACAGGGTAGAAGCAGAGCAGGAGCAGTCTGTCTGCTTCCATATTTCACCAGGTTTATATGGCTCACGATATCTGGGCATGCTCAGTGTTTGTCTGAGTTTACAGAGACATCTGCCTGTTTCTTTGTTTAGTATCTGGACAGCCACCTGCGGTTCCTGGCTTTCTTCCTCCAGGAGGCCAGTCTGTACCTGGTCTGGAACAGGGCCAAAGAGCTCTGGGAGTGTCTAGTGTCTGGACCAGACGTCTGCGAGCTTGACAGAGAAGTACGTGCACAGTAAACTCAGGAATACTAGATTATCACTGATATTTGAGATTCTTCCCAGCATATAGCTCTAGTTTAAAAAGCATAATTTGGCCTTCTTGAGAAAATGGCACATGCTGTTGGAATTTGTGAATGTGGATGCTGCTTCTTGATGCTGAAATAAAAAATACAACTGCCACTGTATATATAAAGATGTTTTTTTATATAATTTTTTAAATACAATGTAATGTGTGCAGATGTGTTTTGAATGGTTCACCAAAGGACAGCATGACCTGGAAAGTGATGTGCAGCAACAGCTTTTCAAAGAAAAAATCCTGAAACTCGAGCCCTATGAGATTACCATGAATGGTAAGCTATTTCATTTAGTCTTTCATGTTATTTTCTGTTAAACATAAATTAAGTCATATGCATTTTCCCCTCAAAGGTTTTAATCTATTTAAGACATTCTTTGAAAATGTCAATCTGTGTGATCATCGTCTTAAACGCCAGGGCACTCAGCTGGTATGTTTCTGTATTCTGTATTCTGTATGGTTATACTGTATATAATACTACATATAATATGTGGACAAACACATATGGACCTGCTGTCTTCCTCATCACAGTGTGTGGAGCGCCTTGATCTGGCAGGCATGGACTTCATCTGGCGCATCGCCATGGAGACTCCAGATGAAGAAATTGCCAATGAAGCAATTCAACTCATTATCACATATAGCTACACTAACCTCAATCCCAAAATGAAGAAGGTAAGAAGCATTTATTTTTATTTCACTTAAACTGCAAAACATTTGTTCTAAATATTGTATGTATTTTGTTGAAGGATTCTGTTTCTTTGCACAAGAAGTTTATTGCGGATTGTTACAAGAGACTTGAGGTAATTGTCAAAAAGATTATAAAATGTAGAAATGTTGTAGAAATTATGTTTAAAATACCTTTTTTTGTATTTCAGGCTGCTAGTTCAGCCCTCGGGGGTCCCACTCTCACTCATGCTGTTACTCGGGCAACAAAGATGCTGACGGCCACTGCCATGCCGACTGTGGCCACATCTGTACAATCTCCTTCCAGGTACACATTGGGGTTTGGGTAAGAAATTAGTTATACACTTTTTGACATGTGTTTGTGAGGGTCTACTCTTTCTGAAATTTTATTGGAAGTTTTAATCTGAAACTGTTTTGTGTCTTTTTTTTGTTTTCTCCAGATCTACTAAGCTGGTGATAATCGAAAGACTGCTGCTACTGGCTGAACGCTATGTTATTACAATAGAGGTGTATATTGTATGACTAAATGACTTTGTGGTTATTCATAACTGTGTACATATATATAATTTCGTCTCTGTCTACACTGTAATAGTAGTATAGTAAAATAGTTATATTTATACATTATTTTCTTGATGTAGGACATGTACTCAGTTCCTCGCACAATCCTACCTCACGGAGCGTCGTTCAATGGACACCCCGTCACTCTCCACATCACTTATGAGTCAACCAAAGACACTTTCTCCTTGGAGGTAACCTTAACGAAAGAAGCTCCTGGGTCGGGTTACAGGAAGATACTGACTGTTTATTCTTCAGACCCACAGTAATGAGACCATTGGAAATATCCGGTGGAAGATATCTGAGCACTTGAGCTGTCCAGTGGATAATGTCCAGATCTTTGCCAATGACAGTGTGGTATGTTTTATATAAACTCTTATTTAATAATAGAGGTTAATAGTTACTAAGAAATAATTTTAAAGAAATAATTTAGATATTTCTTACACACTATTGTTAATCATTGATTTAAATATTATGTGTTGCTGAGGATGAACTAAAGCTGACTGTTCAAGTCCCAACTTTAATGAATAATTTTTGTGTGATATGTGATGACTTGAGTGCAATGTCTGCCACCTCATTAGCTCACCTCTCTACAACACATATAACTTTTATTTCTATCTGTTGTTTTGTTCCTTCCTGTAGCTGACCATGAACCGTGACCAGAAGCTGCTGTCTCAGCTGGGCTTCAGTGATGAGCAGAGTCTGACAGTAAAGAGCTCGGGCACCGGGACGCCCTCCGGCAGCTCAGAGTCGTCCGCCTCCGCCTCCAGCAGCTCCAGCTCTGCAGTCTTCAACTCTGCCTATGCCTTAGAGCAGGTGCAAACAGGAGACTACACATCGCTTTAGCACAATGCACATGTACAGTGATAATAGCCATTGCTAATCTGTTGTACTTTTCCTTGGACAGGAGAAGTCCCTGCCAGGTATTGTGATGGCATTGGTCTGTAATGTGTTTGAGATGCTTTATCAACTGGCAAACTTGGATGAACCAAGGTAACAGACTGAATGGGAAAACCATTTGGAACCTGTTGCTGTGTAGGAAACATGCATAATTGATCATAAACTGATATTTGATTTCAGAATTACACTTCGTGTCAGGAAACTTTTGCTGCTTATCCCGACTGATCCTGAAGTTCAGGATGCACTTGACAATTTT